CATCATCCGTGACAGACACCAGATTTGACAGATAAAGGAGAATTGTTGTAACATATCTGGCACTCTGGTATGAATTGCATTTCTATAAAGCTAAATATAACTCTAATGTAGGGCTGCAACCAATAATTACTTTTTTTATTTATCAATCTGGCAATTATGTTATTGATTCATTAATAAAACAGTTGTTCAATGAAATATCAGGAAATTGTGTGTAGTCTTGAAATGTCTTTCGGCTGGAAAATATTTTACAATGATCCAAGAAAGCGGCACATCCTCACCCTAACGAACCTGTCACATGATAACATTTGGCCTTTTTGATTTGACGAATGATCAACTTTCTGCCAGAGTAAACGACAAATCGCCTTGACTGTGACCTTAATGTTAAGTATGTTGTTCTTTCCTTATATAAAAAGGAGGAGATAAGACAATTAATAAATCGTAACAAGTAATGGTTTATATCTGACGCTGTCAAACTGTCACAACATGGTATTATAGTAGACCAAGTCTGGGTCAAGTATCAGCTGTAACATTGTGTTGTTACCACTACAAACACTTTTCTATGTAGGAACATATTTATACAGTATAGGGACAGTAATCAAGAAGCAAGTCAAAAGCAAAGACATTAGGTCATTGTAATGATCAATATATAAAAGCAAATTTGCATTATTTAAAATAAAAGGTTCAAGTTGACTTTTGGAGAAGATGTAGCTGATTCACCGTATTGACATGTAGTGTGACAACAGCTCTAAAGCCAGTATTTTTGTAATTACCTTATAATGGCTGTTGGAAAGATTTCAATAGTTAAATATTGTTGGGAATGTGTTCACTCATCATGACATTTCTCTATATAAATATCAGTGACTAAATGCTGTGTAAACGTATTTAGACGAAGTGTACACAACCTTCCTCATACTAAAAGCTGACACTAAAAGACTCCTTTCTAGTGAATACACGGGTCTTGATTTATGAAGATTTTCTCAATTAATTACCAGGATTTTTGTGCATTAATGATTGTATACTCTGGACACTGATAGCCTGTATTGTTGCATCTGTAATACAACAGTTGTACTGTTACAACAGTACAACTCATGATGTGAGGACTTTGTGACATTGCTCTTTGGTCGGGGGTTTGGGTGATAAACCAAATGAATAAACAGATGTTCCTCTTTAACAAGAAACCACCTACAAATGCAGCTATTTATTTTTGTTTTGAGGACATAAGGAACATATTTCACTTTAAGCTTCATGTTATAAGTTGCTGTCCATTTTTTTGGACTTTTGCTGCAACAGCTTAATAGTGGATTAACTGTTTTTCATGCAAAAATGGCCGAAAATGCTGTTATCAAAGAAGTGCTATTTTATTTTATTTTATTTCTTACGTATTCTTCTTTCTGTGTCTTTGTATTCACCACATATACCAAAGGAAATTCCTGGTATGTGTAAATACCAGGAATAAAACCGATTCTGTCATAAAAGAATCTGATTCTGATGTATAGACATTTCTTGGAACAGACCATTTTCCCTGCCATCTGGTGTTTTATAAAAAACAAATTGGCAGATCAATCTTTAAAGAAAATGATTGTTGGATGCAGTCCTTAAAGAAAGTTTTCTTTCCAGTTCTGAGATATGAAGTAATCTCTTTGTACTCTCAATTTGTCCTGCAGGCTTTGTTCAGTACCTCCAGTATTACTACCAGAGGGGCTGCTTATACCGGTTGCGAGCGTTGGGAGAGAGAAATCAGCTGGACCTCACAGTGGGTAAGATGAACGCTATTTTTGGGGGCAGTCATTTCAATCGTTTGAACTCTTGAGCCAACTGTAACACCGTGTCGGAAAAAATAGGGTAAAGGTGACGGAGACATTTGTTCAAATCAGTGTGCTGCCAAGCAGATGTAATCCGAGTAGCTCAACGAATTAGCTACTAACTAAAACCATCTGTAATTAATGACTGGATAACAACACATTGGTGTAGTGTTGTGTGTGCTTTACAGTTGTGTTTCTCTACAGAGGGATTTCAATCCTGGATGTGGAGAGGCCTCACTTTCCTTTTGCCATTCCTCTTTTGTGGCCATGTAAGTCGAAACAACGTTTTCGTACAGCTTTATTGCTTAAAGTGAGGAAGACTTTGTAATGCATTTCACACCAGCATTTATTGTTTGATCTGCATTAACTGTGTACATACAGAGGTAGGGTTTTCCATAACAGTTAAGAGACGGCATTAGCTGAGGAGAAATGTGTGCTATGAGAGCATGCTGCAACATAATGAACCATTATGCTTCCTCTCACTGTGCAGTTTTGGCAGCTCTACAACTCACTGACCCTGTTTCGCTTGGGAGGACATGAGGACTGTAAGGAGTGGCAGGTGAGGGTCACACTGGAAGGCCCTGGGCTTAAATGTCAAGAGGCATGGCAGGCCGAAATAACAGCTGTTGAAGGGACCGTTCATCCAAATATACACGTCTATATTTATATTTGAAAGAAGGCAGTACTAGGGCCAATATTTCCAACAATGGTGTTGATTAAAAATAAGATTAAGATTGGAAAATATGTATTTTTTGTTTTGGGTGATCTTTATTAGAGGAAAATGTCTGACAGGATTCTTTGTAAACTAATGTGTTCCTTTTCCCTGTCAGTATCTGACAAAAAATGTAACCTTTTAAAGCTATTATCAGAATGGTTGATGTGGGTTGACCTCTGAAGTAAAATAAAAACATGTGCATGGAAGGTTTGTCTGTTCACAGGCTCAACTTGATTTATTTACATGACCTGTGATAACGTGTAGTGTTCTAAAGAATGTTATTCCCATATACTAAAAATGTCTGAGCCCTTTCAGAGATTCAGATATAGCTTCAGTTCAAATCATGACTTTTCCTTTTTTTCCCCAGGTAATTATGCTGTCACTGACATTCTTTGTCTTGTTCCTGGGAAATTTCTTCACCACATTGCAAGTGGTCAACAAAAAAATTCAGACAAACCAGGAGAAAAATCACAAAAAAGACCAAGACTGAAACCTCATAGATTATTACCAACGGCCAGTAGTTTTGAAGCGACGCGCACAATGGCTTGAAAGTGACCACGGCACGGTTATGCTGGCAGAGGTTGGAGCAAACTGTTTCTCTCAGGCTGGGATGGCGGCACCGTCCAGCCAAAGTCTCTGGCCGACAGGCTTCTGCTTTCTAATGAATCGTTGTCGATGTTGCTGCAAAGTCCTTCACAACACAGAGTGGTGAGTTCCACTGATATACGGACAGTTTGACTCTTTATCATGTACATAAAAACTGAGCGGGAAGACCTCTTTCATTTGGGTGTTTGTCAGCGCATGAATCTCTCGGAGAGCCTTTTGTTCAAATCATATGCAACTAAAAAAGGGCAGGTAGCATCGATCTACAGAGCATAGATTGCCTTTGAAGACACAACCTCTGTCATGCACTTCATACTGACGTCTGCCATGTCTTTCATACTTCTGTGAAATGGTCAAACTGTCTCTGGCTTGAACAAAATCGGACATGTTCACGCGCTGCACTTCATTTCTTGAATTAGTTTGTGTAGTTTTGAACTCTTTGTTGTGCTATGTCACTGCTAAACAGTATTTCTTACTAAACTTGTAGGTCAACAACTTAAAAAACAAAAGTGATACCTTACTGCCCTTCAATTACAGAAAACATTGTGTCTTTTTTTCCTAAGTCAGTGGCGGATATATTTTTGTTTTCAAGTTTTACAAAAGGGAAAACAACACCGTTACTTCTCCCTTCAGCCATAACTGTGTATTTTTGTATGATGTTACACCTAAATGTGCTGCTACATGAAAACGGACGTAAAAAGTGTGTGCTGTTCCCAGTAAGGATCAAAATGTGTTTTTTAGCGAACTCTTCCAAGGCCATTTATGTTCTCATTAACATAATGCTTACATTTTGATACATGGACCATTAGTAAAAACCTGATAAATCTAATGCTTCCTTCAAGCTTGATAAACATTTGAACACAGAGCTATGCACAGAGATGTCTCATTACTGTGGTAAAACTAATGACATGTCTTAGGTGAATTGAATTTTGATCAAATGCTGCTATTATTGCCGGTACTGTAAGAATAAGATAACAAAATCATGATTTTAAAAGTGCTAAATAGTTTTTCTAATTCAAATCAACATCACTAAATAAAATATTTGTATGAATTAACTTCTGGCAGAACCTGAAACTTTTGCTCTCATTCACTGTAATGTTTTGTTTCATGTTTGTGTAAAAAAAACAACTATAATGTTATTTTGAGCAATGTTGGGTCTATCATGCCTTATTTCCCCACTGCAACAAAAGTCATTTTATTTTGAAGATCTAAAGATGGTAGTGTTTTTTTATTGCATTTCCCTGAACGCTATCTGAAGAGATTCAAAAATATTTACAAATCACTTTTATTGAGGGAAAATGAAGCATGTTTATTCAGAGACCAACATGTTACTTTTGATGTAAGCGTTGCCAAGATGCACAGAACAACTTGATTTCCTCATTTTTATGATGTAGCTGATGTTAAACAATGTTTTCACCGTTGTGAAAAATGTATTAATTTCAAGACTAACTGGTGCTTGAGTAACGTGACCAGTAACAAATCCTCAATCTGTGTACATTGTTGTATAAAGTATATTAATAATTAAACACCGAATCAAACATTGTTGCTCTGTCTCTTGTTTTTTTGTGCAATGAAAATAATTCCCCCTGTGTTGGAATCGTGTAAATACCAAACTTGTTCACCCATGGCAAACATGCATTGTTTCCAACACTAGTGGGCGCTGTTGGTAAAGATAAGAGGTCTGCTTCATTTTGACTCCAAAACTAATTCTAGATCAGTGTTTTGTTTTTACTGGAAATGAACTAACTCTGTTGGGTGTTGATCAAACATGCTTTCTTAAAGCTACAGTACCATAATGTATTACATTTCAAAAACTAGTCTGTCTGGGAATGTGTTACCTACCAGCAGCTTTTAAACCAGATTCAGTAACAAAGACATCCTAAAAGATGTACATACTTTAATGAAAATACATGTTTTTGAAACGGCACAAAGCTTTACATTAGAAAATATAGAAAACGCAAAATGCATCTCATACAAAAGTTAAAATAAATGGCATTTCAAGTTGCACACCACTTGCAAAACTCTCCTTCCTGTTACCTCATTGGTCATGTTCTTGTGTAGATAAAGAGCTGATGATTCAGGAGGTCACAATGTTCTCTGAGTAGAAGCTGCAAACCCCTTGTCTCTGAATGTCCAACCTTCCTCAGTGTGGATGAGAAAGTTAGCCAGTGGAGTCCTCTATTGTGTGTTTTTTACTTCACAAAACGACACAGTTCTTTCTCCTCTTGTTGTTCTTTTGTTTTCGATTGAAAGCCAAAGTCCTTTTGGTGGCCTCTCTGAAAATGTCTTCCACGTTCTCCTGATGTTTAGCCGAACACTCGAGGTAGAGCTCTGCATTCATCTGCTGCCGGGTCTCCTCTCCCTGGAAGCCAACATTAACACCAATAATTAAACTATATAAGGAGCTTAAAGGAATGCCTGACCCACAAAATGGCTTTCTCTTTATCTATCATTAACCTTTTGTTACCTTGAATTATTTTAGAAACATTTTGCATGAATAATCCATAAACCAAGAATTCTCAATGAACTAAAGTAAATATTGCAGATGTTTTTTAATAGTTTGGGTTTAGCGTAAAACCGCCAATTATTAAATGTTTTGCAGATTACCTGACTCGGATTACTCTGCATGAGTTGTGTGAGACTTTGCCAACCGATTATTTGATCTAGTTTAGGCAAATGCGACCCTGATTTCAATGTATCAGATTCTTTCACCGTGTGAGTTTTCTTCAAGATGTATAGGTAACACGGATTAAGTTATGGCTATACAAATGGTAATGTTGGGGGTAGAGTATTCCTTTAATGTACATTTTGAAGAGATTTGTTATTGCATTATTGCTGTTGGCAGTTAAGTGGTTGTATGTTCTGTTTGGGTGCTTCCTGTAAACTCAAACAATAGGTCTGTTTTTAAAGGTCACTACATTTCTGCACACTCCTCCTTTCTTTACCTCTGTATAAGTGACGGGGACCTGATTCATGGCTTTGAGCTTCCTCGAACACTCTTTATCCTTCCTGAGGTCTGTCTTGCAGCCAATCAGGATGACAGGAGTGTCCCGGCAGAAGTGCTTCACCTCCGGGTGCCACTGCAGAAACAAAATAGGACTTTAAGCACTTGAGGCATTGTATGTGTGTTCTTTTTAACATCAGACTTAAGGTCTTCACACTTGGGGAAAAAAAGAAAGTTCTAGCACAACAGAGTCAGCCATGTGGGGGGCAATGTCCACATTCAGGCTCGCCCGCATGAGTTAATCATAAAAGACACTCAAACAATCATTTACTAACTGAATTCGAACAGTCAACCTGAAAGAGTAATGGTGAATACACAGTGTAATGATTACCTTTATCAGGACATTCTCATAGCTGGTGGGGTTGGTCACATCGAAGCAGACTAAAATCAGATTGGCTTCTTGGTATGAGAGCGGCCGAAGTCTGTCATAGTCATCCTGTCCTAAAAGAAAGAAAGCACACAATTCATATAAGCAAATTAATGTTAAAGTTTGCACACAGTAAAACAACTGTCCTCGATGCAACAGCCTGTACACACAGATATGATGTATGTTACAAAGTTAGCAGAGATGTCTGAAACCACATCCTGGCTTCAGCTTCCTTTTGTGCTGATGTAAGGCACCCTGATGCAATTATATAGAAGATAGGCTGTCAGCACAGTCTGTCGTGGGTTTTCCTGATAATGACTTCTAAAAACAGTTTCTCTTCACATGGGAACTTCATGTTTTGCAGAAATGCAGCAGCTGGTGTCTAGCTGGGTATTGTTTGAATTGAAACCGGTAACAAAGCAAAACCTTAATTCAGGTACTACTAATACAAAATGGCACGGTGTTATGTGCCATTACAATTTCTAAAGTCACTGTAAGAACTCTACCTAACCATTACCAACATATAACACATTTCCAATAATAAATAAGAAACGTATTGACTCGTTTCAACTTTAACACTTAGCACATTACACTTATTGGTACTTAACCCTTGAATTTAATGTATTTCGTTATATTTTAAACTAAACTATTTATAGTACAATAAATACTATTCTGACTCTATTTTCAGTTGATGGCTAAAACTGAGTACAGTAATTCAGTCATTTAAAACCACATTCAAAATAACATTGAGTCTGAATTTGCTTAAAAGCTAAGTTCATAAAAGCATATTAGTCAGTTCCGGAAAGATGATGTTGATGATGCTCTGACATCAATTTGACATTTACCACTTCCTCTGACTGCCAGTTTCAGGATCAAACACAGTGGGAGGAGGTCTTAGCTGAAAAATGTTGAGTAGGTATATGTGATGTTAATCTGCTGCCTGCCCCTATTCCTAAAGTGGTCTCTTCACATAATATAAAATGTACAATCAGTAGAAAGTTAATCATGTTCAGAAAAGGAGGGGATTTGTGATAAAGAGTCTCACCAGCTGTGTCGTACAGGTTGAGCTTTATCTCTTTTCCTCCGAGAGAGATGGTTGTGACATATTTTTCGAACACAGACGGTGCATATTTCTGTTTTGACACACCAGAGAAAGATGTCAACTTTATCATACATTTGTATTATATATTATTTGCCATTTCTTCCTCTTTCAGAGTTCCAACATTTCATTAGTGTTCACTATTAGAACATTTAATTTGAATTGAGATACAATTTCAACCTTACCAGCCTTAACTATAGTCGGAATAACATATTTTTTACTAATTAACAAATAAAAATCCATATCTAAAGGTGAATCCCATGACATTGAAGCCCTTCTTACCTCTGGAAAATCACCTTTAGCATAAACCATCAGAAGTGATGTTTTCCCGCAGCCTCCATCTCCCACTATCACAATCTTAAGTTCCTGTCCCTTCTTCATGGTACCATTGGCAGTCCCAGCATGGTTGTGTGTCATTTTGGCTCCCAAGAATCAAACAGGTGCCAGGCAGGATGGGGCTGAAGATATTCCCTCCAGATTTAAGTTAAATTCATGGTAAAGCCGGATGTATTTGAGAAGGCTGAGGTGATGTACAGGCAGTGTCGAGACAGAGGAACAGACGAGCCTCATGTTGTAGCTCACTCTGTTAACCACTTCCTGTTCCTGTCACATTGAAGCGGTTAACAATTGACCCCCTACCGCGCTCCCCTGCCATGATATCATTCTGCTCACTTACAGCATCTCTGGGTACAAATATCGAGCTACAAATGTGAAGCAGTGGAGTGAGGCTGCTCCTACTTCCTCTAAGTGCATGCCTATTTCCATTCCACTATCAAAAGAGGTGTGTGTGTGTGTGTGTGTGTGAGATAACACTGTGAATATTCACATCTAATGCAGAAGTGAAGTCAGCAGGTGGTTTTTTATCTGTGAAGTCATGAACGTATGTATATATGCTCTGATGACAGTGGGCTGGGTGTGTGCCCTGTTCCTCTCTTAGAGGTTTGTACTAGTGGGAACTTGCTTTCTCAGAAATGTATACGGGTAAAACGCCAGTCGTTCTTCTTCCAAATGAATCACAAACAATAACATCTGAATCAGCACTTGTATTGGCCAAGTACATGTACACATATAAGGAATTAGACTTATTTTGCATTGCTCTAAAAGGCAGTAAGGAAGGCTGAACAAATAAGATAGGATTATTATTATGTACACAAATATGCAAAAAGAGATATAAGGTTTTATATAAATATTCTGAACATTTATATAAAAGCACCTTTTACCAACCATTATATTTAAATAAAACGTCAATACACATGTAAAGTGTTCATAATTAATAAATCTGCCCCCTTATTTTTCTCAAATTCTTCAAATATTTTATGCCTGGATGCCGTTTTTTTGTTGGCTGTTTGAGTTAATTTAATGATATTTAATTAATTGTATACATTGAATTTCATGGTCATGATAATTTAGCTGAAATACTCTTACTTTTCTTCATGAGAAACCAAATATAAACTGAACAAAACCTTTATTTTTTGGATCCATAATATGATTATCAAACCTTCAGCAACCAGTGTGGTGAATTTTGTCATGCAATTAGTAAAAAAGCACATTATTCGACCATGTTTAAACCATGAATTTTCCTTTTATTGTGATCATTTTGTGTCCTCAGGGGTATTTACAAGCAATATGTCGGTCATATTTCTCTGTTCAGTCTGAATGGCTGAATATAGCAGTGACATCACAGATTGGGGCGTCAGGATATACTATTCTGTCTCGTCCCAGGGTGCAATGAGCAGACATTTTTATCCAGCATCAAAGTAATTAAATTAGAAAAATGAAGAGACTTGTTTGGAGATACAATTAAGACGTACAATATGTTACAATACTGTAAAGAGAAACATGTACATCCTGTTTTTTCAAATGAGTGTGTGAGGCAGACGGCTGCTTTAGGGCAGGAAGAACATCTTATCAGTGGTTAAAAGATGGTTGAGCCAGATGTGATGTATCTCATGATCATGAGTAACTTCACATGCTGTAATGTAATACATCCAGTCAATTTGCCTTTAAGTTACTACTGGACACCAAATACAACTGGTTAATGGGAGTATTCATGGGCAATGTATGCAAAAGATAGTTTAACATTAGGTTTGGGAATATGTTTCAGCAAAGTCAATAATTGCTTTTACAGAAATACAGAGAGTATCAGGATAAAGCACAGCATAGGGAAATAGCCTACACTCGAAAACACAATAATGTTGCATTTCAAAAGAATCTTCAGTAGGCTATCTGGTATGGAGAATTTTATCTCACATAAAATAATGATCAAAACTCTAACTGAGGTAAGCTCTCAAGTCAATTCTAAAGGTTACATTTCATTGGTCACGAGTGGGAAAATATGCAGTTGGTGGAGAAGAGTGGGTAACATTTTAGCAAGCTGTCCCTTTAAGAGGATGAGCTGACACTGCCATTTACTTTGATTAATATAAGACACGTCATCTTTAATGTATTTTCTCAGAAAACACACATTTACAGCCAGAAAGGGAATTCCACCTTTATATTTGGGAATTTGCTCCTACAGTTAAGACACCCTGCAGTATGGTTGGTGATTTTTGTGTAGCCCATTTTAGAGAAGTATATGCATCTAATTTAACATGACTGACTTAAATTATGTTTGTAAGATGGGCCTTAAATCCTAATAAGTGGAAACAATTGCTATGCATAATACAAATAACAGCAACTTGCTTGAGTTTTGACACCAATAAAACATAAAAAGTGTTTATACTATATTTATTCAAAAATCTCACACAGACATAGTGTTATATTGTCATTTAAAGTAACAAAGCATGCTGTAGAAGGTTACACTAATAATACAGTAGACATGCAAATAATTAAGAGCTGGAAAGAAGAAAAGACAATGATTTGAAAATAATTAAATACAGTACCACGAATGAAAAATCCTTGAATAAGCCAGTGTAAAATACACAAAGCACGGAGGATACCTGATTTGATTCAGTCAACAATCCATCAGAAGCCCATAAAAGGCTGGGCATACAAAGAAAGACAGAAAGAGTCTGCCAGGCTATTCTGACTCCACAGGATTAGACATAATGAGACGTTCTCATGTGCCCTATATGCCACAACACGGTCAAGTGTAGTCAAATCTATAACAAATTACTGTAGAATCATAATAATGATAAAAAAAAGAGTGCTTGTTTGATTTACAAGGTGAAACTGGCAGCCTAAGATATTCAGTACATGACTCACATAAAAAAGGTATTAAATTGTCCTGTAGGTGTGTAAAATATCCATACGTGTATAGCCCATTTTCATCAATTAATAAACCAAGATCAATTGTCAAAAGTAGTTTTTTTCGCCGTGCAAAGAGACAGCTGTCCTGCAGAAGAGAGAGGCCAATCCTCTGTGTGGAATATTCCAGTCTGTCAGCGGCGCGCAAAGCTGAATGGCGCAACCCACCAGGGAGGGTTTTTTTTTTTTTAAACAAAGGCCTATAAATAACCTCATTGGCTGTTTTCAACGCAAAATGTTCACCTTTGTTACACACAAACATAAAACCTTCTTCACTATTCTGTCTCCATTTGCACTGGGGGGTGGGGTGTAGAAAGAAAGCAGGGTTGGACAGAGAGGAATGCTGTCTGCAGCCTCGTGACCTGCAAATGCGCGCACTTGGCAGCCCCGAGCTGGAGTGAACAAGAAAAACAGGCCTCCGACACACCGACTAGTACTACATTATTGTGTGTTCTCATAAGCAAATAGACACACCAAAGGGGAGGGCGTAAAACACGCTCACGCACCAGAATGGAGTGCGTAAAGGGCACATTAGTGACGCAGCTAAATACATCGATTCTAAGTTGAACTCCTCTGCCGATTAAACGATAAAAATCGCTTTTTTTGTTTGTTAGTTTGTCCTGCTCTGTAGCACTGAAACGCCCGTTATCCTCCGGTCTTTGTCTGAAGCCACAGTGCACGTACGGAAGCCTCCTCCCCCGTGTTATTCCACTGCTGCAGTGGATTCCTGATGACCTTATATGGCAGTGTGGGGGAGCAGCAACTCGCTCGAGCTCCCATGGCAACCGTCCAGAGCTCTCGGATTACATGCCGCTGGCAGGGCGAGGCAGCCCGGCAACCACACAGCCTGATCACGCCACTTGTATTACGTTTCCTTCCATTAAGTCTATTTTACTTCTTATTATACATACAGTAGCCTACACCCGTAAAAAACAACAACACTCCTTTGTACAATTTTGTGAGACTTCCTGTTGCATCACGGAGAAAAAAACCAAAGCTCCCTCTCGGAGTACAGCCTACGAGCCTCTCCCAGTTATGGCGCAGCAGCATTTAACAGCACAGCGCTCTCCTTTGTCTGTAAAGAAGCCATTTTGAGACAAGAGAACAGCAGAGAAACCATTGAACAAGTGTAGCCTGCATAGGCTACCACCAAAAAAGGTGTTTTTGGACAAAGGCAAGCAGTTATATTTAGCAGATTTCGCTCCCATAACATTCCTTTGCTCGTTTAAGCCTTGGATTACATGTTTTGAGTTCTAACTGTGAGTTTACAATTAATCAAACAAATATGGGTTACAGTTCTTTTTTTTACAAAAGTATATAAAATATATTTTTGCTGAAAACGTTGTAACCACAGTTAGGCTAACTATTGTGCAAATTGTCTGTCCTATATAATGACATAGGCTACATTTAGTTAGACATGTTACAAACTGTCATATTAAGAGAAATAGCTCAAAATCCATTACCTTTCAAAAACAACATTTCCTTGTGGTTAAACATGATGTAGCTCTGTAAGAAATGTCGAAATAGAAGAGGTTATACTTGACTGCAATCCTGTCTTCAAGGAGAGAGAGAGAGAGAGAGAGAGAGAGAGATAGAGGAGATGGTTTGCATATTGCCCACACAGATGATGCTTGAAGATGCATTTTCGCTGGCCGAGAGGCAATGCCTAGCACTGATCAAAAAGTTTCAAAAGAGCTCTCCTCTATCTTTCGTTGCTAATGGATTCCTTCCTTTTCAGGAGACGCTATCCCACCCCTTATTAATGCCATTATTAGAGGATCCGAAGATGGAGCTGAAAACGTTCCTCCTGTCCCTGCGTTTAGGCCTGTTAACTGCATTTCACCAAAGTGCTGAGGTAAATATTTTCACCATAAGAGTTTTCACTCCATCTGTTTCCTCTTAAGTTTTTTTTTTTTTAAGCGTTTTTTTAAGTAAAAAAAAAAGACGCTACCTTACTGGGATTCTTAAGACATTTAAATACACCCTTGATGCAAGGTCAAGCCGACGATTACACTTTGGACGCATTTGCTTCTTATGGCAGCACAAACCTAATCGAGCTTGAAGTTATCTCCACAGCTGAAGGAACACACCAGGGTTTTTAACTGTTGCTGTTGTGAGAGGAAAGTGTTTAAAGTCATTACTCAAAGAAAATAACGTAACAGTCAAATTTGAAGGCAGCACAATAAACTGTTAAGCAACAGGCCATTCGTTATCCGTGGCCTGCTCTCTGTCATCTGAGGAGCAGTATATAAACTGTATTATCTAAGATATGTCAGCATGCCAGTGAACATATTAAATAAAGTTGTAGAATACAAATGCCAACATTTGTGAGTAAATTGATATCTCAATTAACATTGACAGAAACACTTTTGACAACAGAAAATGCATGCCTCACATTTTACATTAGCCTTTTAAATTTTGATAAAAAAAGTTGAACTTACTTATTGCTAAGCATATCACAAGGCCATACGTGCATTGCCAGACACATGGTCACTTTAACTGTGTTTCCCATTAACTGAACATCTCCAAATATCATACAGCTGTTTATTCAAAACATTTGGTTTCTTTTCACATAAGAAATATAAATACTATTGTATGGGTGTGCCATGACCTAGTTAAGACAAAGATGGATTCCAGGCAGAGGAAAAAAGGCTCAAGATGTCACAGGGTATTACATCCAGTACATAATCTTCCTTCTTCTCAATCCTTTAAAAGGAGGTATCATAGTTTTTATCATAGTCCGTGAGAGATGAGGAAATCAAGTGTAAGATCCCTTTTGGAACAAAGGAAACCCATATAGGCCATTGAGTCCTGTTTTAGGAAAATGGCTGCCGATAGCGCTCGGCCCCCTCTCTCTGCTCTCTGTTGAAGGACTCCTGAGCCGTGCCTCTAATAGCAGACAGCTCCTCTGCTGCTGCGCTCTGATTGGCCCGCCAGAGCTGCCGCTGTTAACCAGCCAATTGCCCGATCACTGCAAAACACCAAGCAATGTCAAACTAAATCCACTTTAGGCGACAATATAAGTCTCGAAAATGGTATTAAAAAATGGTAAGCGTTATGATAATACAAATAAAAGCTCCACGGGTTGTTAATATTTGTTTAAAAGCCAGCACGTACCACAACGGTTTGGCACTAGTTTGTTGGTCTGGATTACAAAACTGACACAACGTAACACACCGCCGCATTCCAACGGTTATAAACGTTAGCCTCGTAATTAACTTCAACGTTTTATCAGCCGAGTGTGAGACATCTCCCATTCGCAGTCATCTTCTGTCTCTACATCCGCGGAGTCCCCATGTGTTTGTTTTCCTTCACAAATATAGTCCGATATGGTTTAATTGTTCAACGACTACACAAAAACCTTCGTCCAAATCCTTTTTAATGGCCTTTTACTGTCAGTTGAGAAGATTGCCCCTGTGTCTATCTTGTGTTTGCCATTTGGGTAAATACAGTCAGCAGATTCGACACAAAATGATTTAGAGGTTTAGAGACACAAGGCAGTTACCGGTCATATACTAATATATATAAATGCATACGAACGTTTTTGACTGTGCATTTATAAAACATCCGATTTTTTTTAGAAATCAATATCATTAAAAAATAACCCGTGGAAATAAAATATAAAACTCTGGCGAAAGTGCGGCTAGCATCAGCGTTGGGCAAGCCTAGCGGTGTATTGTGGGAGAGACAGAAGCTACAGACCAGAGGCACACAATATGTGTTGGCTCTCGCCGAAAAGGAGGCAGTATTCTTCAAGCTAAATCATGTAATGTAAGCGGCGAAAGGAAAGCGATTTCGTCTTTTCATCAATTAAAGAAAATATCTCGATCGGACGAACCATGTCCAAGCCAGGGGAGAAATACAGATTGAACGAAGACCATGGCAGAAAGCAGAGTTCAAGTAAGCTTGTTCTTTTTTTCCTCTTTCTCCAGCCCTCCTAAAGCCTGTTTTCCGTAACTGGGATACACGCTAGATCCCGTTTCTCTCACTTAGGCTACCTTAAGTTACCCCTACCACCAAAGCCATGCATTTGTAACGTCTGTCTGGTTTAAAATGTTGGGGGCTGGTAACGGGACCGTGTTTAAGCGTTGGCTCACGATAGCTCTTCTCTCCCTGTCGCTGCCTGTCGTTTCAGGTTTGGCGAACGGCATGGACAGTCATCCCGGCTGCGGCTCGGCGGAGAAGCGGGGCCACCACTGCAGAAGTTACAAGTTGATCATCGACCCGGCGTTGAAGAAGGGATCCCACAAACTGTATCGCTACGATGGGCTGACTTTCAACATGCCCGTAAGTGGAACGTATTTGATGCGGCGAAACGGCTACAATAGTAACAGAGTAGCCGACCTCCATGATAAGTTACAATGTGGTCTGTGTTGACCGGTGTGTTCCAGCATCTTGCACGGAGTTGTTCATTCACACTGGTTTGTGTGAAACTACTTTGCAACAAGTTATTGTAAAGTTGTAGATTAGATGGATAACATCATGCGTCTCCCCCTCCTCTCCTGCAGAACCCCGGGATGCCCCCGGTGGACATGGTCCGAGACCCGAGGATCGGTCGTCTCTGGACTAAATACAAAGAGACCGACCTCCCGGTGCCGACATTTAAGGTACATTATCTGACAGAAAGCACGATGCCAGTTTTCCTTGAGGAAAAGGGTGACTGTCAAAAGAGTGTTCTAGACACACCCCCCTTGCTCATCTCCTGGATGTCGGGGGAAATTATGATGTTGGACGGGCTGTTAAAACCAAAATAACATGCACAATCTGATACGTGCAGTGGGCTTACTGGATCTGCATGTTAATAGCAACTACTCTGGCACTGTTGTTCTTATCTCAGCTGTCCGAAATTGCCCCACATGGTGCAACACGAAGCTCCTCTAACTCCTCTCATTCTTCTTCCAGATCGATGAGTGTTATATCGGCGACGTGCCTCCCAAGGAGGTGACATTCGCCAGGCTGAACGACAACATCAGGGAAGGATTTCTTGGCGACATGTGCAAAAAATTTGGAGAAATCGAGCACGTCGAGATCTTGTACAATCCGAAGAATAAGAAGCACCTGGGGATTGCTAAAGTTGTTTTTGAGAACGTGAAAGCCGCCAAAGTGGCTGTGCAGTCGCTTCACAAGACGTCTGTTATGGGAAACTTCATCCACGTGGAGCTGGACCCGAAAGGTAAACAGTGATTCAGTCAGTCTGATGAAAAGCGGAGTAACCCACATGTTGCACGAACGAGCATGTTCTCTGCAGCAGGAGAACACCACATGTATTAAAAAAAGTATTGTTGCCATGTTTTTAAAATTATTATGACAGCAGTCACGTGTGTAGTGTGTTGTGGTGGGATAATTGAATTTCATTGAATGTAAGCGGCTCCCACAAGACCAGCGCTGACGGTGCTGTGTACTCCCAGTGTGCATCATTTCAGACCTGTAAACAAACAAACAGAAAACAATCAGAATTCTCTTCCCACTTCATTTACTTCCTAAGTGAAATCCCTGAGACTTTAGCAAGTGTTTTAGTCACAAACACCTTTGAGTTTATAAGATGATCTATTTGCTTCTTATTAATGAACAACAGCAACTTTTAACTCCTTTTAAGACAATACAGTATTTATTGTTTGACTGGCAACCGTTTTAAATATGTGTTAATCAGCAAAATACTGACTGATTTTAATTACAAGGTGTACAGTTTTTACTGCCTACACAAGTGCTTATCCTCTTGAATTACTCCCACAAATGTATCTTTTTCTTTTTTATAGTTAAATCTATTAAAACATGTTTGGGCCATTTTATTATAGCATCAACTGCATGTGTTACTTAAAGAGTTTACCACATAAACATTATTAATTGTGTTAAGATTTTCAGTATACCATGCATAACACTTTTTGATATTAGTTTGTAATGCTCCTGTGTGCTCGGGAAAGGAAACGGCATGTAACTACAAATGTTTACATTTTGGTTAAGCTTAAGATTAGTTGGAATAAAGCCCGCTGGCATTAGGGCCTGCTTTATAGATTTGGCCTCATACCCATGCATGTTTTCTAATCTGCAGGTGAGAATCGCCTCAGATACTTCCAGCTCCTGATGAATGGCAGCTACACCCCGCTGACCCTGCCTGTTGGTGGGGAGGAGGTCAGAGAAGTCTCCCCTCGCAGCCTGGCAGAAGCCTTACTGGTAAATACTTGTCTAAAAATATTTGTTTTAGTGGTTTTGTTACATTTGTTTAGACTTATTCAATGATATAGTGTAGTACATTCTACTGAGTTGAAGTGTTGCTGAATAGAAAACAAATACCAACCTTAGCTGACATCCTTATCTGTAATCCATTTTATCAGTGCAGCAGGTGGTGGAGTAGAGCAGAGGAAATGCTATCCAGAGCATTGCCTGTGGACTGAAATCACAAAGCCACTGAAACATGCACTTTGGCCTCTTAGCACAACATCCCCCAGGCATTGCCTAGATGCTCTTATTCACTGTCTGTTTTATAAAAGAAAGCAGAAGTACACATACTGAGAATTAACATTTGGCAGAAATCGTCATGAGTGCATTTAATTTAATTTCAAACCTTTATTTAACCAGATTGGTCCCTTGAGAGCATAGATCTCTTTTTCAAGGGAGACCTGCAAATGTATACACAGTGTCTTTAAAGTAACAACCTAAATACCTTTATCATGTGGGTGTTTTGATGGTAGTGGTGTGAATATTCGCCTGTGCTCACTGATTAATCCCGATCCCATTTGTCTCCTCTCAGGCCTGCGAGCCCATCCGCAGGTTGTCGGAGAGCAGTGTGTCTGCTGCTGGAGGAGCGTTGCCACCCAGCAGCTCCACCACTCCTCTGTCCCAGGAGACGGGCTACTCCAGCCTGAGGCAGGACACCCCCCAGTCCCAGGGAACCCCTCACACCCCGCGGCAGACTGGCACGCCGTTCTCTCAAGACTCCAATTTCTCCAGTCGGCAGTCCACCCCGGCGTACCAGTCGAGCCGGGCCGAGAACTCCGGAAGTTACAAATCTCGCAGACATGAGGGTAAGTTCCAGGATGCGTACAACCGCAGACCGGAGAGGCCTAAGTACCGCAGCAACATGTTCCGGAGTAACACGTCGGATCAGGCTCCCTTCAAACAGCACCAACTCACCCCACCTGAACCTCCACCTTCCACCCCCACCTTCGCATACACAGCGCCTCCCCCTGCTACGTCCAACTTCAAATCCGCTTTCTCGCCTTATCAGGCTCCTTTGCCCCCCGCGTTCCCCCCGTCGGAGCCTGCTTTCCATCACCCAGCCCAGAGGGAGGGGGAGTACCTCCGACCTCCGCAGCCGCCTCCCGCAGCTGCCACTGACTTTTTGCCCGTCAAGGAGAGGCCAGAAACTCCTCCGATCCCAGAGCCCCCGCCGGAGCCCGTTCCCCATCCGACCACCCCTCCTCCTCAAACCCCAGAGCACTGCCCCTCACCTGGCTCCCCCACGCTGGACCTAGAGCGCAATAGCCTGGATTCTCGCATTGAGATGCTCCTAAAGGAGAAAAGGACAAAACTGCCGTTCCTGGAGGAGCGAGACTCGGATTCTGAGGTGCGGATGGAGGGGAGTCCCATCTCCTCCTCGTCCTCTCAGCTATCCCCAATTCCCCCTTACACGGGGGGCCAGCAAAACTCCCGTCCCTGTAGCACAGGCCTGGAGGATATCAGCCCGACCCCACTGCCAGACTCGGAAGATGAAGAGCCAATTCCCGGAACTGCCTCCCTGATCAAGAGAATCAGTTCTCCTCTCTCGGAGAAGATGAGCAACAGTGACCTCAACGATAGGCATTTTCGATGCCACACTCCGACTGATCAAATGGAAACGGTAAGACCTATATTTTTGACTTTCTATTTACATGAAATGTATGTGTACATGAAAATAAAAATATGTATTCATGTGGTTACATTACACAGGAAGAAGAACACAACAGGTTTTCAAGTGTAGCTCAAATGAGTTTGTTGATAGCCTTGGTTAGTTGATAAAGACACGCTGCTGGTGTTTACTCACAGCTGTGACGGTTACACCGAGGACACAGGAAGTGATGTCTAGTTTCAGTGCAGGTCGGCAGTAGTAAACTCTCCCTTTTGTTTCATTTCTATTTATTATGCCTTGGAGAGGAAGCTCTAATTCCACAGCACAGCTATCTGTATATGACGGCTAAACAAAAGAGGTGTTTGATCTTTCAGTTAACCCACTGCTGTGTGTTTATTTGTTGTAGAGTACATTTATGATCTTTATATTAATAATAGGTACACCATGAAAGACTTCCTTTTGCTAATAGTCATACAAATGCTATCCTCTTAATATGTGTATAAAAAGTCAAAATGACCATCAGCACAGGTTTAAAGTTGTCATAAGTTATGAAAAATGTTTCTCAACCTTACAAATACCTTCACATTCATAAGAAGCTGCTTCCCTTGTTTTAAAGTAACACCATCGTTTGAAAGCAGAAATAAGAGCAGTGCTCTGCTGTTGGAGAATGAGAAACTCTTGTTTCCTCTTTCTAACACTAACCACACACTCACACGGAGGAAAACACAGTTTGGCAGTTAGCCCCATTCAACACAACACTTCCTGGTTCTGCAGAGCCTGACAGTCAGGATTGGCTGCAGCGTCTCATGGCTCACATTTCTAGTTATCACAAAGCAAGCATGGCGAACAGGTCATTTGTATAACATCGCCACTCCCATGCTGAGCTTACTCTGCTTAGTTTCAACCCTGCAGTTCTACCAGATATCCTTTTTATGATAATGAATAGCAGGAAATGGAGTAAAATACTGATTTGTTCAATGGTACAAGTGTTGCATTCACATCCTCAACTATGGTTTAGGAATGAATAGTTTGATCACGAGGGCAAGCAGCTCTCTTTGGAAACAAGCTGAATAACATGGGTCAGCCTGCTAGTTGGAAAATACTAAACTTTGAACTCAGAACAGCACATAAATAAATGTGTGCTCTTATCTTGAATGATTCACTGATCAGTCCTAAGGGCTGCTGAACTACTACTACTACTACTGTAGGTTTGTTTTGATCAGGGTATGATTCTAATAAAAAAAGTTATTGTATGGCTGCTTGCATTTAAAGTTTAAACATATTTTATTTCTCAAAGTAAAGCATCCAAGAAAACAAGATTGCTTTGGTATGGTTTCTAAATCTCAGGTATTATATCATAACCAGTTTAACGAAATGTCAAACTATACCCATTCAATTATAATAAAGCTAAAGGGCAGTTTGACAAAACAATCTTGTCTCAAGGTCCACTCTGAGCTTTTTAAGCCTTATCTCAAAGTCTTCACAGCACGATTCGTTCAAAAGTCTTGAAAGTTCTCAAGGTTAGGAAAATGCTTTATTTCCAATATCAACTTATGTTTCATCAACACAATTCTTTATGTAAACTTAAAATATTTATATATTTGAAATGAAACAATCTTGTTGTCTCCTGGCATCTCAAATCAGACAGAGCAGACCCTAACCCTGAATGAGAAAGTAAAAGAGCTGAATTTGCCATGACAACTATAAACAAAAAATATCCAGGGATAATTTAATCATTTGGTTCTCAAGATTCTTTTTTGCAATCGTTCTCCAGATTGTTCTATCACTGTACTCACTGGTAAATACAAACAGGTTCACTGTATTTTAAAGGACTTTGACACAATTTAAGATTAAAAAAAAGAAACTTAATTTCTTGTTTTGCACTTGTCATTCAAAGCTCTACAAGCAGATTCCCTTACTCTGGAATTTAGCAAGAATTTAATAATCATGGCCAATTTATGCAATGTTAATATGAACACCTGGGAAAACAAACGAAACTGTCAATAGACATTGATTGTTGTGGGTATAAACAAATCCTGTCAACTTAGTTTTATTGCATTTGCATTTATATTAACCCTTACATGAGGTAGTAAAGGCTTTTTTGAGTGCTTGAGCTTTACTCTTTGAAAGCTGTAACAAACACTATCAAAAGTGGAAGGGGTTCCCTAAGTGGTCAGCTAAAGATTTGAACCTTGCATAGTGCTGACCGTCTCTTCCTTTCCTCACAGGGTCACCAGTCGTCAGGGGAGGATATGGAGATCTCTGACGACGAGATGCCCGGGACCCCCATCGAGGGTGCAGAATGTAAAGGCATCGTCATGAACTCTGCTGTGTCGGAGATGCAGACCATCGCCCTCCCTCCGCCCTACCTCCAGCACCAGTCCGGATACCAACTCTCCCATCACCACCTGCCGCCTCACTCTGCTGTCCCGGGACACCCTCACCTCACCGGTGTGCCTCACCACATGCTACACCCCATGGGCCCCTTTGCTCACAGCATGATGCCCCTGGTGCAGATGGAGCTGATGAACTGCCTGCGGTGGGAGCAGTGGAGCACCGTGCCCATGTCCTTCCAGATGCAGCAGCAGATGTTGAGTCGCATGGCTCAGACTCGAGGGCCCTTTCCTTATCCACACTATATAGACAGTGGTGCTTCGGGGCCGTACGCTGCGCCCTACGTGCCTCTGTCTATGGGTGCTACGCCTGCTAGCGATGCAGCAGCAGCAGCACCAGCAGGACCCGGACAGGAATGGCAGAATCCCAGTATACCAAAGTTTAACCCTACTGTTCCTCCTCCTGGATATGATACTAAAAAGGAGGACCCCCACAAGGCCACTGTTGACGGTGTGCTGCTGGTCATTGTCAAGGAGCTGAAGGCCATCATGAAGAGGGACCTCAACCGGAAAATGGTGGAGGTGGTGGCTTTCAGAGCCTTTGATGACTGGTGGGAAAAGAAGGAGCACTCGGCAAAGGTACTTTTTTCCTTTCACTTAACATTTAATACAGAAGCCTGTATCTCCACACACGCACTATTTGGTTAAACAGACTGATAATGTCTAGGTCTGCATCTAATGATTGTTTTCACTATCCATTAATCAGCCGATATTTATTTCAATATTATTTTTGTTAATTGACTAATTTATTATTGACTAACAATAGAGATCTAATATAAATGACAAATAATACAACAACCTTTCTAAGTAGTTTCGTTTGCTACTATTCCATTACATCTACATCTGAAAGAATTGAATCAATGAAAAAAAGTTCAATTTTTTTTAAAAAGTGGGTTATATACTGTCGAATATTTTGAAAAAAAGTTAATATTGTAAACGCATTGTGATGATGTCGCTCTGATCAAAGAGTGTTTAAAGATTTATAAATTAATGATTGTTGATTGATTGTTATAATCAATTGATTGACATTTTCGAATGATAAATATTCACTGGTTTCATATTGTTACATGGGAGGCTTTCTTGCTCTTCACCCTTTAACATCTTATTACATTTAAGCGTCTGGGTTTCTTATCCTTTCAAATGAATAGGGTAAATAATTGACTGATTAACTGATGATGTAAATAACCATAAGCAAGTGTTTCATTATATTGACCTGGAGGCCATTTTTCAGTACAATACAGTAGGTCTTTGGTACAATTACTACCCAGCTTCATGTATCATCTCTTCCCCTAGGTATCTTTGACTCCAGTGAAGGGTGTGGAGGGGAAGGAGGAAGAAAAACCCAAACCTAAAGAGACGATGGGTTCAAGTCTGCTGGAAAACTGGAACAAGGGCGAGGGGCTGGGCTACGAGGGAATGGGCTTGGGAATCAGTTTACGAGGGGCCATCCGCCTGCCCTCCTTCAAGGTAAGCGTGACATGTGTCTTTTAGTAAACACAGAGAAGAGGGTGGCTCCTTTTCTGCCCCACCAGGTGCACTGCTGGTGTTTAATGGCTGCATGTTGTGTTCAGGTGAAGAGGAAGGACCCGCCTGACGCTGCCGCAGCAGGAGACAGCAAGCGAGCCCGACCCTCCACTCCAGTGGATGACGAACTGGAGGATGAAGGTGACTCTCTCTTTGGTTTATATACTCCCACTCAGTTTTATATTATAAAAATCGGCAGTAGCTAATTTTTTTGTTATTAAAGTTTTTATTTATGAACATACATGGTACAGCATACAGAAAGAGGAAGGTCAGTTAGTTAAGTGTCCCTGGTTAAAAGGAAACTGTAAAAAAACAAAGTTGAAAGATTACCAATCAAACACTACAGCGATCATAAAAAATAAAATAATAACAGCAAATGATGCTTGATTAGAATAATTGTACAAAGTCCCTTTTGTGAGAGTCCTACAGTCAGGCTACTAGTTAGAGGTCAGGTATTCCACAAAGTAATCCCTACTTCCTAGAACCACAGGTCCTCTACCCCTCATTCTCGCCAACAAAACCTCATGATGCTGTTACACTCATCAGAGCCTTCCATTCGTTAAATGTTGGGATTGTGGGTGCTTTTCAGTGTCTCGATATCATTCTGGCAGTAGCTAATTTATCTTGTGCCTTATTTTATTCAGACCGGGATCGAGACCAAGCCGAGCTCCCCAACGACGATTCCAAACTGGACGCCGATGCTGCAGTGGCGAAGAGACGGCCCTCGAGGCCACTGGAGCTGGACAGCGAGGGAGAGGAGGAGCTGGACACCTCAGGGAAGGAAGAGGAGTCGTTGTCTGACCGGGAGGAGGAGCCTGAGGAAACTCAGGACGGGCTGTCGTCAGGCAAAGTAAGCCGTTAGATATTAGCTTTAACTGTGTATGTGTTGGATTGTTCACATTATGTAAATTGCATATTTCTGCGCTTGCTCATCACTGTGATCGTATTTCAGGCGAGTGGCGATGAGGAGGGTGATGATGAAGACTCTTCCAGTGAAAGCGCTTCCTCAGATTCATCTGATGACGGTACTTTAAATATCAACCTTGGTGGTTTTATTTTCCCCCTGTGTGTTTCCTGTAATTCATGATTTATTCTCCCTGATTTCCTGCAGAAGCCGTGAGCTCCACCTCCTCCAAGGCCAGCTCTGTCTCCTCGGCTGAAAGCGCAGACTCCTCTGAGTACGAGTTGAGCTCAGAAGAGGAGGAGGAAGAGGAGGAGGAAGGGGATGAGGTGGTGTCAGCACGAGAATCGGAGGCTAAAGGCAAAGTGACCTCTTCCTCCTCTTCGTCCTCATCAACATCATCGTCTGATGAAGAGGAGAAGGCAGAGACCAAGGCGCCAAGCTCTCCTTCGGGGCCGCCACCAGAGGAGAAGGAGGAGCGGAGGAGCAAGGAGGAGCTGAGCAGTAAAGTCAAACGCAGACCCCCCAGTCCTGAGGAGGAGGTGACAGAGGACCTGAAGCCACCCTCACCCAAAGGTGAGCGTCTGCTACATTATTCTGCATGTATTCTTTTAGCATTCATTTATGACAGATGTTACATTTAATTATAATTGTATCTTGTAGTCAAACAGCAAGACATTCCCGTAGTGAAGTCTGAACCTCAGGAGCCCGTAGCAATCCTTCGGCCCCCGACCCCCACCGGGACCCTGCCCGACAGCGACCAGGAGACGAAAGCCAAAGGTAAAGCAGTGCCTGAAGAAGTATCCTGCACCCCGGGTAGATTACCCCCATGCCCCGTAGATGCTAAACGACCCCTCCCCAAATCTGTCTCCGCATCTGTAATGCACCTCCCTCTCCCTCCTCACCCGGCAGTAGAAGGTCGTTCCCTCCTCCACCCTCCCCCTGGTCCCCTCCCTGACTTCCCCCAGAGGCCCAGGCTCCCCACAGATGAGGACCTCCCCCGCACGCCGGGTAGAGACCTGACGGAGCGGGCCCGAAGTCTGGGCAAGTCCCAGAGCACAGACACGATGCCCAACACCCCCGGCAGTGAGGCCCCCCTGATGGGCAGCAGCCTGTTGCTCATCTCCCCTCACATCCCCGGTAGTCCCTTTTCCTACCCTGCACAATCCCCCGTCCCGAGTGCTGGAGTCCCCCGCACTCCAGGAAGAGATTTAACCTTCACTCCTGTCTTCCCTGACCCCACAGCACTGACTTTCAATAGGAAAATATCCTCTGAGAGCCTGGATGACAGACCTGTTTTCAAGGAGCCCCCCGTCAGCGCCCTGCCCAACCAGTCAGCAGAGCTTTCAGCCAGCGTCCCTGAAGACCTGCCCACGGGTCTCACCGTGGACGTCCCGGTGCCATCAGACACCGCAACATCCAAGAGGAAACTTGGTCGACCCAAAGGCAAGAAGACCTTCTCTGAGTTGTCAAATGATCATCTACCCCATGATGCAGATCTGGGAGATCTATCCACACAGACGATCACGGCCCACTCCCCTGACCGGCCGGGCCTGATCTTCCAGGAAGAAGACGTGAAGCCTAAGACAGTCCTGCCTTCCACAGACAGCTTCTACGAAGAAAAACCACCAGTGGTCGTGAAACCTGCGCGAAGGGCTCGACGAGGCTGGGGGGAGCTTCTGCTAGAGACCCTGTCCCCCGTCACCTCGCCCCCCCGGCCGTACTTCAGCCCGCGCTCCGAGTTTGAAGAAATGACCATCCTGTACGATATCTGGAACGAAGGCATCGATGAAGAAGACGTACGGCTCCTGCAGATCACTTACGACAAGATGCTCCAGCAGGATAACGGCAACGACTGGCTCAACGACACGCTCTGGGTCAACCATCCTGATATCCTTTACTGCTGTGGTCTGTTTGATATACCCCAAATGTTAATATTAATAACATTCATCTATATTATCTTTCATTTAAAAATTGCTCCACAAATAATTTTAAGAAATCAGTCCAGCTAAATTACACTTAAAAAGTGCATTAATTTCTTCTTTAAAAGTTGCTTATTAGAGTGTGTTTCACATAGCAGCCCCCTCTGGTGGGCAAAATATGAACTTTATTCATATTCAAAGGTTTTATTGTCATATGCACATAAGCTACGGTGTAGAAATGGCATTTAAATTCTTATGACCTGAGCTCCTCCAATATATATAATAAAATACAAAAATAAAAATTGCGCAAGAAGCCTATATACATGTAAATAGAACATGACAAGTACAAAATCTAAATATTGTACATTAAGACAAAATTAAATAGGGTTTATTGCGGTGATAACTATTTCGATAAATAAGTAGATTGCAAGATGACAAACAGATGAATGTTTGTTGCCGCTTTTAAATATCTTTGGAGCCTTCTAGTTTGGTATCTGAGCTGTGCTCCGAGGCCTTTTTTCAGTTTCTTCCTTGACCTCCCTGCACCTACCAACATCCCAAGAATAAAGAAAAGGAGAAGAGACGACGGCATGAGGGATCACATGACCGGCTGCGCCCGGAGTGAAGGATACTACAAGATCGACAAGAAGGACAAGATCAAGTACCTTCAGAGCTCAAAGCTGCAGTCAGAGGAGCCGCCGTTCGACACACAGGTGAGGACAGACTGTGGAAACACTTTAGAGGCAATGCGCATGTTAACCTGCTGTGGGTGGACATGTCTAACCCTCCTCCTCTCTGCAGGGGATGAGTATTCCTGCCCAGGTTCACGCCTCCACCAGAGCTGGCTCTGAGCGGCGGTCGGAGCAGCGCCGCCTGCTGTCCTCGTTCGCATGTGACAGCGACCTTCTGAAGTTCAACCAGTTAAAGGTAAGCACTGCAATATGAACTTTACTCCAGTGGGCAGTTTCATTCACTCTATTGTTTAGGTATTGAAAAAAAAAGGAAAGTAAGACGACCTGGTTTCATTGCAATTTAAAAGTGAACTGACACTTTGCTCCTTCCTTCAGTTCCGTAAGAAGAAGATCAGATTCTGCAGGTCAGGCATCCACGACTGGGGTCTGTTTGCTCTGGAGCCCATCGCTGCTGATGAGATGGTGATCGAGTACGTGGGACAGAACATCCGACAGGTGAGAGGCTTGTTTCTAGTGGGTTTTTTGTGGTTACATTAACAATGATTTATTTGTTACAAATGTGCTTACAGAATATTATTTTTCATTAGTCATAGATCTGTTGATTATTCTAAGATTCAATTTTCATTCTATAAAATGTTGGATAAATTGGTAAAATGCCCATCCTAGTTTCTCAAAGTCAAGGTGGTGTCTTTAAATGACTTGTTTTATCAGTTGAGACCTCAGTTTAATCGGATATTAACAGAAAAGCAGGAAGTCTTAATATTTCAGCGGCATAAACTCCATTTTCTTATAATTTTCATGAAATATACTATGATAGATTCTCAATAAGTTGGATATTTGTGGATTTAATATTGCAACTCTGACTCGAAATGCTTTTTATTAGCCAAAATAAATATTAAGTGTCATTTTAAAGCAGTCAGACCTTTTTAAACCATCCTTCATTGTCAGGTGATTGCGGACATGCGGGAGAAGCGCTACGAGGAGGAAGGCATCGGGAGCAGCTACATGTTCCGCGTCGACCACGACACCATCATAGATGCTACCAAGTGTGGCAACTTCGCCCGCTTCATCAACCACAGCTGCAATGTAAGAAACATTCCCACCATCGCATTCACACAGCAGTGCTTTTCCCACAAAGGTTAATGAGAACTTAGTTCATGAGAACTCTTTAGTTCTCATGAACTAAGTACAGATTGCGTTCACACCGGAATAAGTCCCTGGGGGTGGATTAGGCAAATGAAGCCGCTGACGTCACTTCTTCTGCTTTGGGTTTACTGGCAGGCCGCAAACAACTTCACGGCGTATACTGCCACTCAAAGTCCCCGGCCGAAAGTCCCCGGAGTTGGGGACTGGCTTCAGTAGAAGCTGCTGGGACTCCCAACAGCTTCTACTGAAGCCTTCCGAGTAAATCGCCAGAACGCCGACACCTCCTCATCTCCACCGCTCCCATGTTTTATTTTGTGTTCACATAAGTTAGTCTCTCTGCATTTCGGCGCTGGGCGAATGCTAATAATGCTAATGCGAGGATAATAAAATGGCGGCTTCACAAAACTTTTTGGGAGTTTTACGGGGCGTGGTTTGCATTCCGCCCAGCCAATCAGACATAGGAACCGTTTTCTCCCACAAAAGTACCTGCTCTCTAGCAGGGACGGAAAAGGGGGTAAAAAAGGTTCTGATTAACTAATTTGAGTTCCGGCTCTTTTTGGTGTGAACGCGACATTTCTGAACTATATCGGAACTAAAGTGGGAAAAGTACTGCGGTGTGAACGCGGCTAATGTGTCAGAAAACAAAACCCTCTCTCTTTTCCTCCGTACCCAAATCTCTAAAAACGGGGGTCCAACGGAGCTGATCCAGATTTGCGTCCGATATGACGTAATATCGAAAATGTGGACCCACGGCCCTATCAGAAACGTTGCTATCAGAAACAATGATGGACGTGTTTTGGACGTAATATGGTCTGTGTTTACATTAGCAAGCATCGCTAACACTCAGAGTTAACCTGTACTGGAGAGAGTATGTGTCAAAAAGCGGGAAATAAAGAAAGGAAATCACCTTGTAGTAAACCTGCAAGAGAAAAAGCATTTGAGCTCCATACTGTTTCAGAAATAATCCTTGATGTGGTTTGGAACATGATATGGCGTTTAATCACGGCAGCATTTACCTGTATCTCGTAGAATTCTGAGCAGGCATTAGCTCCCCCTCCTCTTTTTTTTTTTTCAAGCTAAGGACCCCGAACCTGCAGTTCTCTAACAGGCCTGAAATAGAGGGATATGAGGGATGTCTAAAATGCATGATCTGTTTGGTATTTTGAGTAAAACACATCATAGACATGTTTTTAATATATTTGTATATCTCAGACTCATAATATATGCCTAAAAATAGCATGATAGGAGATCTTTAACACCACATTTATGAAACAATCTAATCTAATGAATGATGTGTTTTCTTTCAGCCCAATTGTTACGCAAAGGTCATCACTGTGGAATCTCAAAAGAAGATTGTGATCTACTCCAGGCAGCCCATTAACGTCAACGAGGAGATCACCTACGACTACAAATTCCCCATCGAGGACGAGAAGATCCCCTGTTTGTGTGGGGCGGAGAACTGCAGGGGAACGCTGAATTAACGTCCATGTGAGCTCCATCTTCTCTGTCCTTTTCATTTCGAGGAACTGAAGAGGGAAGGTTTTGTTTTGGAGGAGAAGAAATCTGCAAGTCATTTGTCTCCTCACAGATTAAACTCTAGATTGTTTACGATTTATGGTGCTCTTGAAAATGAAAAACGCATTGTTTTTTTATGTCAAACTTTCTCAAACACTTGCTGGTGCAGCATTTGCTCCTGTCGTACAGTATTCAGCATGACATCCTTCCACATCCAGCCCTGGTTTGTACAGTTTACACTTTTATTTTCTTTCTCTCGTTTGTCTCACAAGCTTTACATACACCACACATGGTACATGGAATCAACAGCACATGTTCAGCTGCTACCTAACACTGTTAAGACGCACAAGCCCACCAGGAGAACTCCTCTTCTGTCTGAGGACCAGGTCGGGCCCCTAAGCAGATGGGATGACCCCCCCCAGCTTTCTCGCTCCTACCTCCTCTGCACCAGTTTTCTTGGACAATCCTGCCACAAAATCTGGAATAAATCTGGAATATTTGGATATCATGATATCATTTCACCAGCCAATTATGGATCACGCTGCTTCCTATTAGTTTATGCAAAAACAAGTCAAAGATGACATGCAAAAATGTATTAATGATATTCCAGTGTTTTCCAGTTTTGTTAAGGTAGTTCCCCTCTTGCTTGTTTCTTCAAAGACACTATATGTATGTGTGTGAATGTGTGAGAGAATTTTTCATCATAGCTTAGCGTGTGTGAGTGTGAGTGCACTGCCCCCTGTAGGCCGAGTAAAAGGCCGCCCAATCACGCAGAGCAAAAGAAAGAGAATATTTAAGCAATTCCTGTCAACATCCACTAGGAAGCATTTATAAAATACTTCTTAAACTAAGTTTTCAGCTTGTGAAGAAAAGGTTAGTTCTCATTTTAAGTGCCATATGAATGTTTAACCGTCTTTGTTTAACCTGAGCAGGAGGGAGAAGGACATAAAAGTCTTTGCCTGGAGCTGTGTTAACATGTATGTGAGAATAATTGCTGCCTATTTTTTCATCAACGTTTGATGATGTTTCAGCTGGGATGACCTTCTCATGTCTGTGTCCTCTGCAACTACAACACTTATTTCTCCACCAGTGTTCAATGTTTCCTTCGAAACTGAAGTGTTTCTAGAACCCAGCAGTGCTCCTGCCGGTACTTTCTTTATAAACTCATTAAGATAAGAAAAAAACTATTTGTGAATGCACTCAAGGCTTGCACTTCTGCTTAGCATCCCCTCAGCCAATCATTTCCCCCTAAAGACCAAGTCAAGTCATTGCTTTTCATTCAGTTTATGGAGAATTTCTTTTTTCACCAGTGATGTTTATATTGTTTATGATACTACTTGTACAGAAGATCTAAAGCTTTTTTATCTACACAGGGGAAACACTTTTAAGATGCATCTTTCTCTCTTTTTTTTTTAACAAAGACTGAGTATTTAAAAATATTTTCAGGGATCTGTAAAAGGAATCTGAGGGTTTAAAAAGGTTGTTTATTTAAAGAAAAAGGTCCACTGTGTACAGGAAAAGTCACCATCTCCCTTTTTGAAAGATTGTTTCTTGTGGAAACGTCTTCATTTTTTGCCTATTTGCTTTGTAATCTGACAAATGTGTAAATACTGTTACTGTGAATACTATATAAATATATATATATTTTTGTTCCCTGGGATTTGCTACTCCGCTCAGAGATCAATGTATCATAATGGTGAGCGATGAGCTGGTAGCAGGAAATTCAGCTTGTGTCAAGCTTTGTTTTTTTTATTTTCTGTTTGTAAATTCTATGAAAAGTTGTTTGCGGTGTGGAGAAAAAACAAAAGGTGCAGAATCGGCATGGGAAGAGGATTGAAGCATCAGCCAGTTTCTCATGTCTATTTATTACACAACAAATGTATGAAAAAGGAAAAGTGGAAATAAAGCATTTTGCATACATCCATTAACAGTGGTTGTTTTTAATGGGCCAAGGAGCAAAAAATGTGTGAGGAACAAACTTGCTATACATGGATTTTATGTATTGGTAGTTGCCAATCTGAAGTAAACCCTGACTGTCAGTGATGTTGATTTTTCATTACATTGCATTTAGCTGACGCTTTTATCCAAAGCGACTTACAATAAGTACATTCGACCAGGAAGACACAACCTTGAAGAAAACAGAATCATATAAGTACATCAGGTTTCATAGAGCCAAACATTTCAAGTGCTACTCAACTGGCTTTAGGTAAGCCAGTCCTTTATTAGTATAAAAGTGCTTCGTTAATAGTTCTAACGCTCGAAGTGGAGTCGAAAGAGATGAGTTTTCAGTTTGCGCCGGAAGATGTGCAAGCTATCTGCCGTCCTGATGTCAATGGGGAGCTCATTCCACCATCTTGGAGCCAGGACAGCAAACCCACGTGTTTTCGCCGATGGGAACTTGGGTCCCCCTCGCAGCGAGGGCGCAACGAGTCGTTTGGCTGATGCAGAGCGTAGTGCACGCGCTGGGGTGTACGGTTTAACCATGTCCTGGATGTAGGAAGGGCCAGATCCATTCGCAGCATGGTAAGCAAGTACCAGTGTCTTGAAGTGGATTCTAGCAGTTACCGGAAGCCAGTGAAGGGAGCGGAGGAGCGGAGTGGTGTGGGAGAATTTAGGAAGGTTGAAGACCAGACGAGCCGCTGCATTCTGGATGAGCTGCAGAGGTCGGATGGCACATGCAGGTAGACCAGCCAGGAGGGAGTTGCAGTAGTCTAGGCGTGAGATGACGAGAGCCTGGACCAGAACCTGAGTCGCTTTCTGAGTCAGCTGGGGACGTATCTTCCTGATGTTGTAAAGCGTGTATCTGCAGCAACGGGTTGTAGCAGCGATGTTTGCAGTGAAGGACAGGTTGTTATCTAGGGTCACACCCAGATTCCTTGCAGTCTGAGTCGGGGAAACAACTGAGGTGCCGATGTTGATTGTTAGGTCAAGAGTGGGACAATCTTTTCCCGGGAGGAAGAGCAGCTCAGTCTTGTCAAGGTTGAGCTTGAGGTGGTGAGCAGACATCCACTGAGAGATGTCAGCTAGACAAGCAGAGATGCGTGCAACGACCTGGGTCTCTGAGCGGGGAAAGGACAGAATTAATTGGGTGTCGTCAGCGTAGCAGTGGTAAGAAAAACCATGCGGGCTAATGACTGATCCGAGCGAGTTTGTGTACAGGGAGAAGAGGAGGGGACCAAGAACAGAGCCCTGAGGGACCCCCGTAGTTAATTGACAAGGGTCGGACTCAGACCCTCTCCAAGTCACCCTGTAGGTACGGTCTTTCAGGTATGAGATGAGGAGGGAAAGTGCAGAGCCTGAAACTCCAAGTTTTTGGAGAGTGCGAAGGAGGATCTGATGATTCACTGTGTCGAATGCAGCAGACAGGTCCAACAGGATGATGACAGAGGAGAGGGATGCCGTTTTGGCAGTGTGCAGTTCCTCCGTGACAGCAATGAGAGCAGTTTCTGTGGAGTGACCTGCCTTGAAACCAGACTGGTGCGGATCCAGAAGGTTGTTCTGATTGAGATAACAGGAGAGTTGTTTAAAGACAGCGCGTTCAAGTGATTTAGACAGGAACGGGAGGAGAGAGACAGGCCTGTAGTTTATAACATCAGACGGGTTGAGAGTGGGTTTCTTTAGGAGAGGGTTTACTCTTGCCTCCTTGAGACTGTTTGGAAAGTGACCAGAAGTTAGAGAAGTGTTGATGAAATGGGTGAGAAACAGTAGAATATCAGGAGCGATAGTCTGAAGGAGGTTTGAAGGGATAGGGTCCAGAGGACAGGTGGTAGGGCGGTCAGAGGTAATGAGGGTAAGAACCTCACTTGGAGAGAGAGGGGAAAAGGAGGTAAGTGTGTTGGTGGAAGGAGGGTCTGGTGACCCAGCGGTGAGTAAAGGTGAGTCAGAAAAAGAAGAGCGAATATCATCAACCTTTTTTTCAAAGTGGGTAACAAAGTCGCTTGACAGAAGTGAGGAGGGGGGAGGAGCTTTTGGAGGGTCCAAGAGGGTGGAGAAGATGGAAAATAGTTTTTTAGGATTGGAATAGGAAGATTGGATCTTATCTTGAAAGAAAGTGCTTTTTGCCTGAGAGATCGAAGCAGAGAAAGAGGAGAGGAGAGCTTGATAGGTTAGGAGGTCGTCACGGTGTTTGGATTTCCACCATTTCCGCTCTGCTGCCCTAAGGACGGTTCTATTAGCACGCAGTGCATCATTTAGCCAGGGAGCAGGAGGGGACTGACGAGCCTGCCGAGATGTGAGAGGACAGAGCGAGTCCAGAGTGGATGAGAGAGTAGAGAGGAGAGTTTCTGCAGCAGAGTTTGGAGGCAGGAGTTGGAACGAATCAGAGGAAGGGAGGGCTGAGAGCACCGACGAGGCAAAGGTAGAGGGGGAGAGGGAGCGAAGGTTACGGCGGACAAGTGCAGGATGGGAAGAGATTAGTTTGTTATGTTTGGAAAGGGATAGAGAGAATGAAATGAAGAAGTGATCGGATGTGTGGAGCGGGTTTACAGAGAGGTTAGAAGTAGCGCAGTTCCTTGAGAATATGAGATCAAGGACATTGCCAGCTTTATGAGTCGGTGGGGATGGAGACAGTGAGAAAGCAAAGGCGGTTAACAGAGATGTTAGTTCGTCTATCTTCCCCGTCTGGAGGTTGAAGTCTCCGAGAAGTACAGTGGGAGGACCAGTTTCAGGGATGAGTGAGAGGAGATTATCTAATTCCTCCAAGAAGTCCCCCAAGGCGCCTGGTGGACGGTAGAGAACAACAATGGTTAACTGTATAGGATGGGTTACTGTGACGGCATGGAACTCAAAGGTGGAAGGAGTGAAGTTAGGTAGCTTGAAGAGGGAAAAGCTCCATTTGGGAGAGAGCAGGAGACCAGTGCCACCTCCTCTGCCAGTGGGTCTGGGTGTATGGGAGAAGGAATATGCTGTGGAGAGAGCTGCTGGGGTGGATGTGTTGGATGGAGTAATCCAGGTCTCAGTGAGAGCAAGGAAATCCAGAGACTGCAGGGAGGCGTAGCCAGAGATGAAGTCAGCCTTAGGAACAGCTGACTGGCAGTTCCACAGGCCACCTGAAACTAGATGTTGGATCTCAGTGGAGCACGTGGGATAGACGAGAGCAGGCCGGTTATATCGATTACGAGACTACTGACTGTTAGTGATGTTGATTTTTCATGTAAGGAGGGGTTGAACAAGTCCGGGACTCAACCCTGGCACATAGGCACAATGTAAAAAAAATAATGTTGAAACTAGTTAAGTGTTGAAAAATGTGAAAAAAATCATAGTATGTCCATCATTTGGAAAGAAAGTCACAGTATAGTGTGTCGAAAAATGTGAAAAAAGACACCAAAGATGTCCCGTATGGTCTAGAAAAAGAAAAAAAATCGAATATATGTAAGAAATAAAATAAAAAGTCATAGAATAGTGTGTCGAAAAATGTGAAAACAAAACCATGGAATGGTGTATCGAAACATTTGGAAAAAATGCATAGTATGGTATGTCAATCATTTGGAAAAAAGTCACAGTATAGTATGTCGAAAAATGTTAAAAAAATACACAAAAGATGTCCCATATGGTCTAGCGGTTAGGATTCCTGGTTTTCACCCAGGTGGCTCGGGTTCGACTCCCGGTATGGGAACAAGTTTTATATGGGAAAAATAATCAAAGTATAAACTGTCCTAAAAAAATCGAATATATGTAAGAAATAAAATAAAAAGTCATAGTATAGTGTGTCGAAAAATGTGAAAACAAAACCATGGTATAGTGTGTCGAAACATTTGAAAAAAAGTCATGGTATGGTATGTCAATCATTTGCATCAGCATTATTAGCATTAGCATTAGCCCAGCGCACCCATGGAGAAAGTCTAACTTATGGCAACACAAAAGAAAACATGGGAGCGATGGAGTGATGAGGAGGTGTCGGCGCTTTTGGCGATTTACTCGGAAGTCCCCAACTCTGGGGACATCGGGTGGCAGTTTACACCGTGAAGTTGTTTGCGGCCTGCCAAGAAGAAGAAGAAGAAGAAGAAGAAGAAGAAGAAGAAGAAGAAGAAGAAGAAGAAGAAGAAGAAGAAGAAGAAGAAGAAGAAGAAGAAGAAGAAGAAGAAGAAGAAGAAGAAGAAGAAGAAGAAGAAGAAGAAGAAGTGACGTCAGCGGCTCCTTCAGGGACTTATTCCGGTGTGAACGCGATTTACTAGATAGTTCCAGGAAATAAAAGTTCCGTGGAACTAAGTTCCGGGAACTATTCCTGGGAAAAGTACTTGGTGTGAAAGCGCCTATAGTATAGTGTGTGAAACAAATGGGGAAAAGACACTAAAGATATCCCATATGGTCTAGCGGTTAGGATTCCTGGTTTTCACCCAGGTGGCCCGGGTTCGACTCCCGGTATGGGAACAAGTTTTATAGGGGGAAAATAATCAAAGTATAAACTGTCCTAAAAAAATCGAATATATGTAAGAAATAAAATAAAAAGTCATAGTATAGTGTGTTGAAAAATGTGAAAACAAAACCATGGTATAGTGTGTCAAAACATTTGAAAAAAAGGTATGGTATGGTATGTCAATCATTTGGAAAAAAGTCACAGTATAGTCTGCCAATAAATGTGAAAAAAGACACAAAAGATGTCCCATATGGTCTAGCGGTTAGGATTCCTGGTTTTCACCCAGGTGGCCCGGGTTCGACTCCCGGTATGGGAACAAGTTTTATATGGGAAAAATAATCAAAGTATAAACTGTCTTAAATAAATGGAATAGAGTGAGTCGAAACATTTAAAAAAAAAAAGGCATATTATAATCTGTTATAGAATTGGAAAAAACTTCATAGTAGAATATGTCGAAATATAAAATAAAAACTCATAATGTGCTTTCACACCGGAGTACTTTTCCCAGGAATAGTTCCGATAGTTCCTGGGATTTTGCGTTCACACCAAAAAGATCTGGAACTAGAACTTTTT